TCGCGCGTAGCAGTTTAACACGAGGGATTCTTTGAAGTATCACTAGTGGCTCGCGGAGCCTCATAAAATTATTACTATATGAATAGAATAGGTCTTTTATAAAACCTATGAAAATGCCGTACTGCCGTACTGGCGATTTGAAATCAAATTTTTTTTGGCTAATAATTCTAATTTCAAATTAATTTTATTTAAAAAATATGGAATTCTTTTTTCTGTTAAACAAGTGACGATTTTATCGTCACTTGTTTAACAGTTAGTGTTTTGTTTTCAACGCATTCGAACATTTTTAGTCGTCATGGATAAGTTAAAAATTCGAGTCATTGCTATGGAGTATGAGTACAGTTGTGGTAGCAAAGCGGCACGCAACATCAACGATGTTTACGGAGCGAACACAACAAACGAACGCACCACCCGTTATTGGTTTGTCCGCTTCCGTTCTAAAAATTTTACTTGAAAAATGAACCCCGTGGTCGTCCGAAAACTAGTCGACAATGACAAATTAAAGGCGATCGTGAAAGCTGATGAAACTCAATCTACGGCTGAATTAGAAGCAGCTTTCGAGGTTAGCTTCAAAACAATGTAGGTCCATTTGCGTAAAATCGGCAAGGTAAAAAAGCTTGACAAATAGGTACCCCACGAACTCAATGACCGCCAGCGCGAAGTACGCATCGAGTCGTGCATTGCACTGCTCAATAGGCATACAAATGAAATAATTCTGAACTGCATTGTTGCTTGTGACGAGAAATGGATCATGTTCGACAATCGTAAGCGCTCAGCAAGTTAGTTGAACCCTGGTTCAGCACCCAAACAATGCTCTAAACAAAAGCTAACCCCCTAGAAAAGTGATTGTCACTGTTTGGTGGTCTAACGCGGGTGTAATTCAACACAGCTTCTTACCAAACGGGACGAGCGTTACTGCAGATGTGTACGGTGAAGAACAGAACACAATGATGGAAAAGCTCGCACGTCTCCAATCGGCTTTGGTCAATTTTTCGGCTCCACTGCTCCTGCGCGATAAAGCGCGACTTCATACTGCACAGCAGATGGTCTCCGAGCTACAAGAGCTGGGGTTGGAAGTTCTCCGTCATCCACTGTACTTACCAAACCTTGCGCCTACAGACTTTTACTTTTTCCAAAGGAGATGGGTGAAGATCGGCCTTTTTTCGCCTATCTTATTCGTGAAAATCCCAAGTTTCGATTTTGGCCATTATTATCATATGTATATTAAGTTTAAGTATCTTTGTATGCATCTACAATAAATTGATTAATAAAATAAAAAGGCAAGTAACAAGAAAAACCCTTCAAACTTGACATGTTTATTGAATTTTTGCTATTTTTGGCGTTTTTTCGGACTTTGGCTTTAAAAAAATTCATTAAGCGCTTCGTGCACCACAATGATCTTATTTTTTTTTTATATTAGGGTCAATAAACATATAAACTAGCATTCATTTGTTTTGGTGCATTGAACGCACCTATGTGATACAAAACAAAACATTTTGAACGCGAGTTTACCGTGCATGCGACGTGTACATGTTCCGACTTGTCTGAGGCTCATACTTATCGTTCAATTCTACATTGGATTTTTATTTTGTTTTGAGGACACATGTTAGCGTAATTATTTGTGTGTTTTCATATATTATGTCCAAAAATAATGCCCGGAATTCAGTGCGATTCTTGTAAAAAGTGGTTAAAAAGTAAAAGTGATTTTCGTGTTGTTTCTAATAACAAAATAATATCTGTTCTTAGACAGCATAAAAACTTTGCTTTACAAAAAGGTCAGAAAGTATGTTCTGCATACCGAAAATATGCATATCGTAACTTAGATACTAAAAATCGTTCTACATCTTCTTCGAATATTGCCGACAGTGTTAAACCGTCCACAAGTACGAAATGTGAAGCAGAAAAACCCAAAGTAGTGTTGTCATTACCTCGGTGCCACAATTCAAATGTACGTTGTATAATATGTAATAGTCAGAAGAACCTTGTTACAGTACCTCATGCAGCTCGAACACAAACATTTATTGAAAGAGGAATATATGTAACGGCAGGAAAACGATGTTGCAAAGATCATCTTTCTAAAAAAGTATTCACAGATGCGTCGCTTTCGGATTTAAAACCAATAACAAATAATACACATTTATATGAGAAGGATATTGAAACTCTTTTGCAAGATATTAGAGGAATCGCAAAAAAGAAAGGTCTCGATTTTGACACCCCGGGACAGTTAAAAGATTCCGATTACTATTCACTAATGGGGTTAACTATTGAAAACTTCGATAAGATTTTTGATTAAGTAAAGTCAGGCATTCATTCGTCAGAATACAGATCAAGACGCACTTGTTTAGCTGTATTACTTGTGAAGCTTAGAACGGGTCTCTCGAACGGAGTTCTCTCCGCATTATTTAACTTAAAAAAAAAATTGCTTGCTTTCTCTATACAATCTGCTCGACAAGCCCTGATAAAAAAACTTCGTTCCATTATATCTTGGAACGCAGCATATTACAAGAACTAAGATTATTGAAGACCATACGCGTTTATTGGCAAAAACATTATTTATTCCGGACGATAATAATGAAACTGTTGTTCTTGTCGCTGACGGCACATACATTTATATTCAAAAAAGTAGCAATTATTCTTTCCAAAGACGATGTTATTGTATACATAAAGGAAGACCGCTTGTTAAACCCATGATGTTAGTGACGACAACAGGGTACATATTGGATGTTTTTGGACCCTACTTTTCCGATTCCAAAAATAACGATGCAAACATTTTTACACATATATTAAAAAAAGATGCTCATAATATCAGAGACTGGCTTAAACCTAATGATATTATTATCGTTGACAGAGGTTTCCGAGACTGTTTCAAGCTTCTCGAGGACATGGACCTAATTCCTATAATGCCTTCATTTATTAACAAACAGGCACAATTCGTGACGAAGGACGCTAATGAGACACGCTTGGTGACAAAAGTTCGTTGGGTTGTTGAGGCTGTAAATGGCCAACTCAAAAACTCAAATACCATATATTAGAGATTATGTTCAAATCGTGTGTGCAATTCTTAATGCCTTTCACCCAACAAGAATTAACAGTGATGAAGACGACAATATCATTGCCCAACGGATGCTTGATTTAGTGAAGAAACCTAATCACCTACAAAAGATGGTTGAAGAAAATGGGTGGGCAAGAAAGAAGGCGATATGGCGTCCGTTAAGCGAATCTGATCTTTCAGATTTCCCACAGTTAACATGGGAAGAGCTGCGAAATCTCACTCTTGGAATATATCAGCTAAAACAAAGCAGATCTTACACTCAGGAACACATTAGCCAAACGGGAATGTACTCCCTATAAGTTCATCGAGAAGATGTCTCAGTTATCCGAATTCAGTTAAGATCACGACATACAAGCTCAAAAATATATAACATGTGGATAAGATCAGCCATAAGTCCTATCATAAACATTGAATGGTATTGTCAGTGCAAAGTTGGCGCAAGAGTTGTCGGTTTTTGCGCGCATGTTGCATCTGTATTATGGTACTTGGGGTATTGGCGCCATAATCGTACAGAAACGAAAACACCAAGTCTTGAATATGCTAATACATTTGAAGACGCTGCTACTGGATGGTCCAGTTAGTGAGGAAGCATAATTAAATACATTTTGTAATATCACAAATATACCGAGATTTCTCATTTTTTTTTTATATAAATAAAAATATTTTCACAATAAACCTAGCATTTTTATTTCTACTGGGTATAAGTATTAAGAAAATAATAATACATTACGAATTGCCCGATAGGCGAAAAAAGGCCGATCTTTACCCATCTCCTTTGGATAACCACTGGTGGGGAAAAAATTCAATACCCGAGAGGCAGTACAAAATGCCTTTGAAGAATTTGTTGAAGGAAATCAATAAGCTACCAATGCGTTGGCAAAGATGCATTGATGCATGGGTGATTACTTTGATTAAGAGAAAAAAAATATATAGAAAAAATACGCTTCATTTATTTCATGAAATACAGCTATTTCATAGAAAAAGATCTAATATATATAGGTAATAAATTATTATAGTAAAACAAAACGTAAAATAACAATATTTTAGTTTGTGTAAGTTATAGCTGTTGTGATACATATTTATGGAATTATGAAACATTTAAAGTCGCAATCGCTTTCGGTAAGAATGATGATTTCAATTATCAAGAATCATAAATATAAATTATTTTTATGTAATGCTTGCCTTAGACATTCTAATAAGGATATCGTTATCTTTAAAAAACATCGCGATCGTATTTGCTATCACATGTCAAATAGTTGTAGCATGAAGTTCGTGAATATATTTGAAATCTTAAATAGAAAAAGATTAAGATAGATTTTACAAATAGCCCCCTGGACGCTGCCATGGCACGTAAAATATACAACATTTTTGAGACGTCCAAAGATCCAAAGGATGAAAGTTTCTCGAATTCTAATATTACCTACTGTTCAGGGCCCAAATGAAGTAGCTAGAACGCTCGTGTTATGGAAATCTGAAACAATGAAGCTATTACAACAAGCGGACCTTAAACAATACATAAAAGCTAATAATCTACATTGATGTGACCGGTGTGCCCAAGTAGTTATTCTTACATCGTCATCATTGAAAGCCCTTTTACGTCCCCACTGCAGGAGCTTAGGCCTTCCTTATGGATGGTTAATGGAGGAGTTATTTTTTATTCGTATTTTATTTGTTTCCAACTGCTCGCGATTTCGTGGATAAGTTACTCGTTATTACATAATTTATCTACCCGTAAAAGTCCCGTCTAAATCAGTCCAGCTGTTTCAGAGATAAGTCGAAATAACTAGACAGACAAAAGATGTAAAAAATATTATTTTGGTATATGTACCGAGTATACAACCAAATGCGTTTAGTGAAAAGCGATTATTTTAACATCACAAACAGACACACCAATTTCATTTATTTATTTGTATAGATCAATGAAATAATTGCTGTGTTTTTGTTTCAGAAGGAGGATGGAAATCGCCCGGCCAATATGTGCCCTTTTCGTTATACTACTGACGCTCTGTTTCACACATATAACACAGTAAGTGAAGGACAGTTGTATATCGACTTGTTAAATTTAGCTTGCACCATTGCGGCTGTCGTGTCAGCATTGGGATAAACGTACATTTTTGTGTCTGTTCTTATTACAAAGTAGCTGTTCGCAACTTCGTCTGCGTAGAACGTAGCCTAAATTACCACTTATTGCATAAGCTAGTCAATGAAAGACATATAGACATGAAAACATATAGACAGACAAAAATGTAATAAATAATATCCGTTATACTAAGATCCGTTCTAAAATTTATGACGGAATAATTATCACTACAACGGATGTGTTGTGCTGGCATTGATAAAGCATTGATATGTGTAAATTCTTAAGTTTGTTGATCCATAACTCAACTCTCTTTTTAATTGAAACTTCAGAGGAGTCTTACGAAGTAGGTGAGATAACATTAACTACTACAGATGAAACTGGGACTTACGGATTAACGCACCTTCTGAAGCATGAAGGAGATCGACATAATGTAAAATTTTGACCGTTTCATCCTATGCCTTTCCGAAAGTTGCTTATCACCGGCATCGCAGATTGACGACGCTAACTGTTGCGCCATCGAGCATGTTATTATGAAATTACGATAAGAAGAAATATAAAGAAAATAGTCAACTTATTTGTAGTTCTTCAATAACACTTTTACGAAGTTATATCAATTACTAGCTCTCCGCCAGCGGCTTCTCCCGCGTGGTCTTGTATTATACATAAAAACCTTCCTTTCGAATCACCATATCTATTAAAAAAACATATCAAAATCCGTTGCGAAGTTTCAAAGATTTAAGCATACATAGGTACAGAGATATGGACTTTGTTTTATACTATACAGTGATTTAACAACACGGCGGACCGAACCAATTACTTCCAACGAACTTGTTCACTAATTTGACATTTCTAAATTATAAAGTAATTTTAGGATACATTTCATATTGTAAAACGTTTAGATTTCTAATATGCGTTAATGAACCTGGAATATTGGAGAAATTAGATTTAATTAAACTTTTCATGTGTATTATCTGTTAAGCAGATTTGATAAAACTATTAGCATAAAGCTCATAAATCTTGAAGTTGACAAAACCAGTATAATACTTTCCGTGCATTTTACTAAGAAATATATCTTATATTACTCATCATAAATAACATTCTATCAATAATAGAATGTTATGCATTCGCATAAATAATACAATAAGTACATATTTAAATTTTATTTGTAACACTGAGATATCGTATCTTCATAAATAAACGTAAACATGTTGGGCGAGTATATAGATGTATAAATAGTTTAAAACAATTCCCTCTCTCTGGCTGAATCTCGATGCTCTGGAAAATATTTGGCATAACAGAGTTGGCATTATATTTTTTTTTACGAATACTCATCTATACTAGAATGTCTATATTTCTATACTAATATTATAAAGAGGATAGATGTCATTGTTTGTTTGCTCCGAAACTATTGTACTGATTTTAAAATTCTGTTACCTACGGGAAGCTACATCATATGGGGTGAACATAGGCTATATTTTATCCCGAAACAGCAAATTAAATAATGAAATTAGGAGTGGAAGATTGTATGGAGAATTAAAACGTCACCATAAATGCCATTGTTTTCTATTCAATTTATATCCATGTCATGATATTAATCGTTAAGAGTTCCCTAGGGATCACGCGAGCGAAGCCACAGGTGGAAAGCTAGTAGTATTATAAAAAGGTAAAGTATCTAACCTTTACCCGATTACAGAGAAGCGAAAATGCGGGTTATGATTTTGGGCGGCATCTATGTAAGAATGTTCATCTGTTCCCTTGTAACTTTCTTATGTTATCTTCGAAAATACTGATTCGATCATGAAGTTTTTTGCACCTATGGAAGTTATATTATACGCGAGTGACATAGGGTATAATTTACGCAGATAAAGATGTGCGAAACAGCTAGTAAGGCAAAGAGTATTAAACAAAGATAGGGATTGGCTGAACATTTATAAATTATGAAAGAATAATCCGCAATCCTGATAGTGGATGTGGTTAATTTCCCTTAATATAAATGAAATGGGACAAATCAGAGAAATAGTACTTTGCTTTCCGAATAAATATATCTACTCTAGCTCAGTGTTTATAAATATTTAACTTACTTTAGTTGGCCATTTACAATAACTTTTATTGCACCGTTCGGAAATCCATCGACGATTGGCCCGACCGTTTAAAAGCTTGCGTTAAAGCTAAGGGTGGACATTTTGAATAACTAGTTTAGTACGTTAACATATCTTTTTTAGTCTACATACTCACATATAAAATTTAAATAAAAATATTTTTTTAGAGATTATCGGATACTTTCTTTGTAACAGAACCTATGACTAGACTAGGTATATAGGCACTACTGTTGTACAGTTTGAATTTTCACCAATAACCGTTTAGTTAGTAGAGGGGGGGAGGAAACTTAACTCTAACTTAATAAAATTAGCTTTTTAAAGCTTAAGACGTCACAAATGGTTTACTTAATCGAAAAACGGCCATCTCATATCCCCAATGTTATGAAAGAGTTATTCAACTATGTCCCTTACTATGGGGAACACAAAAAAATATCATCCTCCACCTACCTGTACGGGAAATGCCCTAAAATTTTTTTTAGTTTTTTTATATTTTGACGGCGTAACTAACTTGCATACTCAACTTTCTAGTACCAATAGCTTTTGAGTTAAACCGCGGATATAGCAAAACTATAAGGGTTTCTTGTTTACTACGGAACCCCAAAAATAGTGCTTCACTCTTTGTCTTTATAAGCCTCTTTTATAAAGCCCCGAGCTGTTCAATGCAAATGTACGAACAACTCAGGTGATCAATGAATCCCAATAGTTCAATCGTTACAAAAATTAATACATAAGTGAACTACTCGGAACAAACTTGTTCAACTGGTTCAAATACTTAGCATGGGGTGTATGAAAAAAAAAATTCAATGATTAATAAATCAAATAAATATAATAGTGGAATCATTATACCACTATTATATTTATTAATACCATTTAATTTTCATCATAACGTTCTTTCATTTGAACTGAAGGTATGTGCACATCGTTAGTCTACATTTAAGAGAATATATATTTCAATACAATCTATAGTTATGTAAGATCTGTTACTGTTAACATCTTCTGAATGCGTGCCAAGATTGTGGTTCAGATGTCGCTAATCCACAAATATAAATAAAATAGTAATGATATATTTTATAGATTCATGGGGGAGACGTGTAATATGAATAATGTCTGTGAAACTTATCACATATATTATTACGATTATGTGGGATTTTGCGATGGCGCCTCCACTTTTGATGTTGTTATTAATGATTTATCAGAAGTCGTGAACAACTTTGTATTTAAATTAAACATTCTATTTTGAATAGGAAGGTACGGGTTATGTTTATGTAGTGAATGTTGATGCTGAAAATTGAGCGGGAAAATGTGATCTTTACTTTATTAATTTATTTAATTTACGTAAAGGTATCATAGTGGTTATATGTATATAAAATATCATTTATTTAAAATCGCGATGTTTTGCTATTGCTAACATGATTTCATTACTAAAAAATAAATACCAATAACACCTCTTATTCAGTCTAGGCTGTCAACAAGCAATTGTAAAAGTCGAAAATAATAAAATTATCAGGCATTTTGTATTGGGTAAATTCGCTAAGATACTCAGCTATAGATGTCAATCAATAATTAGATATTTCACATTACATCTTATTTCGAAGAGGCAAAATTATGAAATAGATTCGGACCGAACTCATTACCGACATTATTTAACAGATGCATGAATGTGGGGAAAATAAACTTCCGAGAGAAAGAGAAGCAGATCCTAGACCAGATCCTCGGTCCGGGCCGGTACGACGCAAGGATCAGACCGTCCGGTATCAACGGCACTGGTAAGTAAGCCATTTTATTCAACGCTACTAATGCTACGCCATTAATTTGTAACATAAAGCACGCATAATAAAAAAGGGTATAACTTAATAATTGGAAATTGTATATTGAACCTCTATGTATGACGGTTTGTGATTCCAATTTGCAAATATTTAAATTATTTAATTAATAGGCGTACTCTTACTGGGATCTGGTTACATCTTTTTGGGCTCATTACCGTCAGTTTCACGATACGCCTTGATATTTGAAAGTGATTTTTATTCATAGGCCCATGGGACAGAAAAATGACGTCATTGCTTATTGTCATTAATCAAAGAAAACTTTTCATTTTTTTATATATATTAAAGAGGATATCTTTCTTTTGGATACGTTCATTGATCGTGTTTCATCATTAGTAAAAAATATATAAGTTATTAGTTTAAGCAGTAATATAATCATTGGATGAATCCTTAGAAAAAAAATACAGGTGACATATCTCTAGTTTTTTCTCATTCCAAGTTTAAAAGCTAACATTAAGTCCACAATTACTTACCAAATAACATAATGGTGTGGGTGTTTGGGGTCCATTGACGTTTACGATATTGGTTTTGATAGAGATGGAACAGAACAGATAGTTACTGTAGTATACCATTCTCAAATTAAGGAATACTGACTTTGTCAGATATTAGGTAGACAGTATGTGGCTAACTAGTTCTAAACACTGTGAAATACCGCTGTGCTATTGTGTTAAAAAACAGCCTCGCACTTTTTTAAGGGTCCGACCGTGCGTTTTTTAAAAGCAAACTTGAGTTTTATTATATTTATTGTTAAAACCTTAAATAAGCCGTACAAACAAATTATTTAATACATTAAAAGTAGTACTACTCAAAAAGTGGAATAAGAACTATGGAGAAAAGGAAAAAACAAAAATTAAACTCCTCCATCCGACTCCTCCGACGAAAATGACCGTGATAAGTATAAGCCTCATAAAATTGAAAACTATCGAAGGCAATAATCCGAAGATGGAGGAAATTTCGAGTATAATGTAATGTATGAAAGAGAAATATCAATAAAAAAGTAATAGCTGGTATCAAAAAAGAAGTTGGTCTTAAACCCTGGCACGGTATGTCCTGCTACTATCTCCAGAGAAAATTCTATACTCAAATTAATATATTGAGATGTGGACAGTGCCGATTTAAAGATCTTTTACACCATATGCATATTATAACATCTTTAGTATGTATGCACCGAATGTTCAACCCAAGGAAATTAGACACTTAAACAAATCTTCCTTCATGTCCAGCTCACAATATCCAGCGACTCGTTCTGATACATCACCCACTGAAAAGACATAAGACTATACCGCCTTCCCTTCAGGATATCTTAGCATGCCCAGAAAATTTGGTACCGACTTACGACTATATTTAATCCAGTCTTAGAGAAATCTGATTTAAACATCTCAGATATGTAAATATAACCATGTACATAGAATAAAAATTAAATCAAGATTTTGCTTGAAAATAAAATTATATTAAAGATCTGGCTATCAGCCTTTCAAAATCATTATGAAATAAAAAAGAAGACAAAAGATGGGGCTTTACCTCATAAAATAACCTACTCAAGATTTGGCAGTATGGCTAAGTTGGACGAAACAAACTACTACTACTTCTGCGCTGTAATTCATGTAAAACTATTGTAATCAATATTGTAATTTTGCATATATCAATTAAAATGAAAAATTGTCTTATTAGAAGTAATGATTTTATACTAACTTCTTTCTTTATTTATTATAGTAATTTATAGTAATGAACACACAATTAAAATTGGCGCACTAATAACGTATTTTTTTTAATGTTACTGTCTCCTCCATACAATCCAAACTCTTCGCAAGAACTAGCTAAGCGTGATATGAGTAGATTGTGATACGTGTGAATAAAACAGTCGGCTGCTACTCGTGTCTTAGGTCCGAAGCCCTAGGAGATAAATATATTTGTACGATAATTGATATCTATTTCTGATATCGTACGATAATGCTCAACCTTAAATTGTTTACGTACGTGTGTCCGTTTCAAATTCTAATGTACTGAAGAAAATTTTGGCACACACTATAGACATACATTAGTAATGTTACCTTGCCTTTGATGTAATAACCTCCGTTTTCACTAACCTAAAAAAGATGACAAGGCTTAGCTTAACAAGGAAACGACTAATCTTACTAATTGCCTAAGCAGACTAGTTTAATTCTAAATAATATTTTTTTTTCTTTTATCCCTTGACATATATATGACCTGTCATATAAGCAAATGCCCAGCTCAAGGCGCCACATAATTAATATCATAACTTTGGACATTGCCTAATTTCGTTAGGTGGTTCCTAGTCAATGGTGAAATCCATTTTTACCTTAGGAAATTCCTAAATATTTAGCGACTCCTAAGTTTCGTGAAAACAGGCATAAGAACCTAATTTCGGTATTCTACGGGAATTCTTGATGGAAAATATGTATCTAATTTATGTAAGTTGGTAACGAAAAGGCGACGATTTTACGACTAAAACTACATTCAAAGTGGCAAAAAAGAAGCAAACGATATAAGTATTTCTTTATTATACGAATTTTAGTGAACTAGAACAAATTTTCCGTAGAAAAATTCATAAGTACAATTATTTATAGTAATATTATTAAATATTTTTCTTAATATTTTTTTTTTAGTTCACTCATACATATCGCATTTATAGAGCTTACAATAGTTTGGTTCTGTTCTTGATTTAGCGAACATAAAAGAGGTTGAGTTGAATTATTACAGCAATTTAGAAATAATAATACTGCTCCTACACATTTCATTTCACGGCACACATTTGTGCGACTACTTTAATAAAGAACGCTAGGGGTTGTTTTGTCTGTATTTTGTAACTAGAATAAAATATAATATCATTCATCCAAACAATAAGTAGTTATATTTTGAACTTAAAAAACATATTGGAAACCATTTCGAAGATATTTCACCTAAATATACCTCAGATAATGAGTATTTGTTAGTTTTTATGTCGGGAAATATCCTTTTTAGATTTTTTTGCAACGAGTTTCAAAATACGAACAACATACAACTTCTATAATTTATATAGTTTAATTTAGACGAATTGCTCAATAAAATGCGAGCACTCTGATCTAATGTAGTCTGATCGTCTATGCCGTAAAAACTGCACTAAAATCAAATGAACTTTGAGTTCATAGTGTGATTTTGATCATAAAAATATATTCTATTATTTGATTTAACACGTAAGGCGTTTTTATAGTGTATTTCCGGCATTATAGTATATCTATATCGTAAGCAGCAATTTCTTTAAAGTAGCCATTAAGATAAATAATAGATTGATGGTAATATACGAGTAGAAAAGGTCTCTGTCCACGATAACCCTATCGGAAATCTTAACTTGAACTTCGATATAATTTCGACGTGCTTGTCATTCAACAATGTCTACTTTGGTATTCTGTAAAATTACAGAACTGTCAACATAGGGTTCAAGGAAAACTTTGTTACCTTTTGAGGTAGGTTTTCTTTGATTGAACCTCTGCTTTGACAGCACATTGTTCAACGGTGCATTCGATACTGTAATTTTATTAAAAAAGCACTCCTAATCAAAATAATGATATCTAAACTTCTTGTTCCTATATAAGAACCATTTCGAAGTTTATTTTATATTGTTTTAAAAAATATCCGAATAGGCAGGTAAAACTTAAAAGAGACTAGCAGTCTTCGACATTAAAAAAGGTATTCTATTAATTTTACTCTCGGTGTTGGTATGGAAATTTAAGAGCTATTCTACGTGTTTTATATATATATAAATGTAGCTTCGAAAGCGCTTAGGAAGCACCATTACAATTTCGTGTTCACTAAAGCGACAAATCGTTGTGACAATTTTCTACTCTCACCTTAATTTTTATGTTGATAGGTAGCTTTATTTGCATTGCAAATGCTAAGTTGGTTTTACGTGTCAATGAATTTAAGTGTCTGATAAATGAATACACTGATGTGGAATATGAAAATCAGGTCGATTACAAAATAATATTCAACAAAAAATCTTTAAAAGTTAAATAATAAATATATATATATTACATCAAATTATCCATCATTAATATTCTTGAGAAGCATCAGGAGTCTCTTTTTATTACTTCGAAAATGAAGTTTCGTATTATATTAATTTTGTGACTTTCATATACCTAATTTGTTAAAAGCATTTCTGTACTGTGCCTGAACTCTACTCTCGCTTCATACTGAATTTCATTTCTCCTGTCTTCCTATTTTACTGAATTGAATAAGACAGGTGTAAAGCTGAATTTAGCAAATTGTTTTAGCTGGTGTTATAGTTAGTAAACCTATTTCGTTTTTTTTTCACATAAACACAAAAATGACCTCTGAATTTAGTAGACAAGTCTTTAAGAAGCTTAGTTTATTTCTAAAAGATGAATGGAAACCAAAGGAGTATTTTTAGTCCTTAACAAAAATCGAGATTAAATGGCATTCATTTTCTTCGTATCATCGCGCTAGGATCCGAACAAAAACCGATCCACTGATAATAAATCACAGATCCTATATTTTTAGCTCAGTTACTAGATTAAAGGAAAATCTTTAGTTCGTAACGAAAAGGGTTCCACCAAGTGAATACTGAATATTTTGTCGTGGATATACTTAGAAATATTAAATTCTTCTTTAGAAATGAGAAAATTAATGTAAATGAATTAAGAATTTGATGAAAAATGGATTTTAAATATATAGAGATAGGACTTGTGAACCTAAATAAATTTCAGGATAACCAAATATAATCCATTTCACACTAAAAACTGACGTAATGAAAAAAAAGCAAAATAAAAAATTTCCTTTTGAGCACAGCTTGTTCTGACTTATAATTTAATTTTCATTTCGCAAAAAACGGTCACGTTGCTTTTTATTAAACGAACGATTTATATATTTTAATTATAAATTGAAAATCGTTAAATAAAACTAAACTTAGTTATGGTTTAGCTTGA